TGGCCAGAAAACTTCTTTTGGAGGATGTCATGGCAGGAAGAGCCAAACAGATACAAGAAAGATGTAATCATTTTTTCTATTATTATAATTATCTAATTTTAATGCAATGGTTTGCATTTTCAATAGAATTATAAAAATCACTTTTATTATCCAAAACGTCTTATAGAGTGGAGAAATAAACTTGATGGTAGATTAACTAAAGGTTTACCTTTCAGCATTGTGCAACCAGCACATTTATCCAATATTTTACATGAATGATGTCAGATACCTTTTAAAAAGCTTCTATATACAATGAGTAACCCTCCTATTTCACTGATCCAGACTTACTAAATTCCAATTTTAACAGGTCTGGGAAACCATTGATTTGCATGAAAACATGCATGCAATATGCACTACATATTTAGGGCTTGTGGAAGAGATGATTTAACCCTCTTAAGTCCTCATATACTTTGTGCAGCCCTGCATCAAAAAGAAAAAAGTCAGGACTTATCTCAATAAGTGAAAAGTACAAAACATTAATCGTTAAACATTACATTAAACCTTCATGAACTTCTAGTTCTGGGGTATGTTTCCTCTAAAATGTTAGATTTCATTCAGTGTTGATTAAGAAATAATTTATTTCTAATTGTGGGGCTACCTTTTTTTAGTGACTATTACAATAGGAATAAAGATTGTTGTACAGATTCTAAATCATTTGTACAAAATCACCATTTTAAGACAAATGTGATGTTGAAAAAATAAGAAAAGACTATCCATTTCCTACAAAGGGTCCTGCAAACATTAGTAACTTCTTTACTATTTACTGTAATAGAAAGTATACCAGTACCCAATTGTAATAAACTATTGAAATGAGCTAAGAAGCCATAATGTCTCTTTCAACAAAAAGCAATGATAGTGTGAATTTCATAAAACATACATAAGAATGTTTGCTCGATTGAACAAAAATTGTGTGTAAAGAATATTAAGCCATGACAGGAAGAAAATGTACAACAGACTTGAATTCAGTTAGTCTAATGTGCTTGTGCCCCCAACATATTGAATATCTTGAAGTTGTGGCTATGTTTTTAATGATTACTGTATATAGACCTACTTTTTTGTTAACTAATAATTCTTTATTGTGATGGTTACTGTTTTCACTTTTAATTTTTTTTTAGTACAAGAAAATCAGCGACAACAACTGGAAGCTGCTAGAGAAAAGGAAGAATTGCAGCAAAAAATAGCAGAGAATCAAAGGTTGGAAGCTGAACAGACTTTGAAGCGTAAACAAGCTTATATTAATCACCAGAATGATCTAATAAGTCAGATAGAATATAATTCAAAGCTTCGTGAAGAGGAGAGAGCATATGAATTAGATGAATATCTGAAAGCTCAGCAAGCCGAGAGAGAGTACCAAACTAGAATAAAACAGGTTTTAGATAACCCTACACATGATAAACTTCATCCTATGAGGCGGGCAATGTTGAATCAAGCTCAAAATCAGACTTTGTTTTAAAATATTTTTTTTTAACTTTTTATTCAACTGAATGGAGTTGTTTCGTATTTCTTCCATGTCAAGTGGAAGTGTTGTTTACATTAATGGTCTCATTGTAATTTGACTATGAAAATGGTCTAGATCTTGGCATCTTTAAGTAATAAAAAGTATTTTCCAATAATTCACTAATTGATATGATTATTTAGTAGATCTACAAGGAAGACATTGCCATTATTGTCATGTATTAGACCATAACCACTTGACTTATTTTAAAGTAGGTCAGATATTCGGAACAACCCCAATAAATCTAAGTTAAGTTTATGAATTCACTTTAAGAAACATCCTTTTTTTTTGGAAGGAAACAAATACATGTACCATGCTAGTAAATCAGCTTAATTAAATTTAAAATACTTTCTTTGATATCATTGTAAAATGTTACTTTGAACATAGGCCAATCTTTTACCCTAATGTAGTCATATTTTCGACATTCATTTAGTTCACTAAACACTTTTTTTTTAAAATTTGTAAGTGAAATAGATTTCAGTAATTGTAATGGTCTCACAGTTGTTGCGAGGCATACTGTAATACTATAAGCTTTTCTCTATTTAAATACCTTTCACTTCTCTGTAAACACAAGATCTTTTCTAGAGTTGGTTTTTATACTGTACTGGAGCTGCTTTTCCTGATCAGTATTTATGATTATTATTTTTAAAGTTCCTAAAATAGAATATTTTTTTTTTAAATTTTAAGGCTGTTACAACTTTCTCTAAACAATATTAGGATATTCACTTTTATTTTAAAGGCTTCAAAAAATTCAAGTTTACAAAATTTTTGTTTTTATAATTATATATTTATATAAATTTTACAATTCTATGTTGAACTTAAATGACACTGCATTAAGTTTGTGATATTTCACTGTATACTTGTACATATAATATCTATTTAAGAACATTTTCACAAAAAATTGTGCAAGCTTGGTAACATTTTTAATTTATTTGATGAGATAGGCAACTCCTGAAACAATAAAATTGTTTACAATAACTATGATTTGTTGTTTGGTTTTAAGCAGTTGAAGAATTGATGAGGGCCATAACAAGGTTAAAAAAAGTAGTTATCTGGCTATAAGCAAAGAAATGTGGGGGAAAAAGTCTGTTGTAACATGACTTTAATATAATTATTTTAACCTGAAAGTACAGGTGTATTACCAGGTACATTTTCAAAATTAAATTTTTGTTGGAAATTGCTTTGAAATGTTGTATTGCTTATCTTTAGTTAACAGATAGTTCTCCTAATAAGTTCTTATCATTTTCATGTGTTAATCTTATCACTCATGTTAATTAAAGGTGTGGAAGCACGACCATGTCCAGACTTAGGATTAGCTACACCACACACTCCTTTATGTTAAAGAGAGAAGAACCTCCACTGTGTGAGTACTGTGACTCTTTATCTCACAGTGGAACATATCCTCATTGATTGCCCCAGGATATTAGAGGAAAGTATTTCAGAGTAGACAACTTAAAAATTCTTCGATAATGAAGACCATGGGAAAATACTGGGCTTTATCCAGGAGGTGGGGCTGACTACAAATATTTGATTTGTGATAGGGCAAAGTAATTGTGAATATATAATATTTACAACAGATTTTTATTAACTTATATACATTTTTACCATTTGAGCTATGAATGGACCTTATTTTTAATAACTTAGCTGTATAACATTTAGCTCTTGAGGTATAAAGGGAGAATAACCCTTAAGGGATAATGGGCACAACATAGCCTAAATTGTGCAGATGTGCCAAAATATTTAATTCATGTAACCATATCTATGTTAATGTGGCACATGGAAAGAAGTTGCAGGTTGCTTGCATATTAAGAATAGGATTTTTTCCAAAGTTTAAAGTATTTTATTTGGTTAGTTTTTGTATTTTGAAGTAAGGATTTAGTGTTTTACTAATAACAATTCTGAAAATTAAGTATGAGAGCAGTGTTTCACATGGCTACAGAAACCCATTTGTGACCTGCATATTTTTCCACAACTGATGCAGATAAAGCCGTCATCTGCCAGGGGTTTGTTTAAATTTTTGGCTTCAGATTATCGCACTTACTTTCTCACAGTTAACGAATTTGTATACGTTGTTGCTTTCTTTTGGTCTTTCAATAAACCTCAGAAAAACAGAATCTCCATAGAGATCTGTCACTGGCAGTGTCTGAATCCTATTCCCACCTGGTGTCTTCATGAAAGTGTGGCACATAGTTATACAACAACATCCCTGATTGTGCTTTCCTTGTATAGGCAACCATGTCATTGCAACTCTTGGTATGAGTAATTTCATTGTCTGAGAACATGTCTTACAATCCTGATGCAATGCTCTGTCACAACCTCATTAAGGGGTTGAATCCCATGTTCAGTATAGGATTTCTTTGTTTGAAACCTAATCTCTGTAACTCACTGCTAAAATTCAACTTAGCTATTTTTGCCACATTTAGTCTTTTCTCAATTTTGGCAGATGACTTCCATGTCTCACATGCATATGAGGCTGTTGTAATGGAGGATACTGCACCAAAAAGGCGAACATGTCCTCCTGTAGCCAGACATCTGTTAACCCTATTGTTGTGTATTCTTAATTTTATGTGTAGTGATTAATAAAACATGCCATTTATAACTTGCTTTATATGCAAATAAAGTATTTTGATAACTAAGCTTTATTTCATTTAAGGTCTAGATATATGTAATTTTATCTAAAAATATTTTTTTTTTCCAGGCATGTAAAATAGATTGTAAATATGAAGTAATTACAAATAGATTTAGTATCTAATTTGACTTAAGAAATCCTTTCAGTGATTAAGTTCTAGGTTGCGAAAGGTCAAAAATAGAATTTAGAATGATTATTCATTTCAACTAGCTTAGATTTATATGTATCCTTGGTACTTGGCTTCCAAACCGGGGTTCCAGATTCAAATCCTGGAGAAGACTGGGATTTTTAATTTTGGGGCCTCTGAGTTAAACCAACTCTAATGGTTACCTAACATTAGTAAAGGAAAAGTAAAGACAGTTGGTCGTTGTGTTGGCCACATGACACCCTTGTTAAACGTGGGCCACAGAACAGATGACATCATCTGCCCTATAGATCTCAAGGTCTGAAAGGAGAACTTAACTTAATTCTTCTTAAGATGTCTTTATGCTCTCAGCTTCATAAACTTTCTGAGTGCAAGGCAGTTATTTTGTACATTTACTTTTTGGTATTATGTAGACTGCTGCCACCTTTGAACTAATTTTAAATATAGAACATACTACTACTTTGAGATCATTGCAATAATAAAGCTGTCTGAATGGCTCAGAAAAATGTGTAGATGAATAATGCACAAGCCTTTTGTAATACCTGTATTTAATAAATGGGTTCAAACAAAAAAACAAAATTAATGTGAACTTAAAACAATCATTTCATTAATCACAACTACAAGTAAACATAGTAAGTAAGTGAAAAAAAAAACAAATCTTATAAAAGTCACAACCAATTTAGTAACTCTTTAAAAAAAAAAACAGACAAAAGTAAACATTTTTGGGGATATTTTATATTTTCAAAAATGCTCAAAGAAAACAATTAACATAGAAATGCCACTCATCATTAAGGCAAAGCACCATGGTTTTTTGGTATACACTAAAATCATAATCAATTAAATTTGTTGGAATATTTACAAATTATACAAAGCTAACTACCCAGTTCAAATTGATGCAATCAATTATAATGATGTATAGATGATGTATTGATTACCATCTCATGTCACTGATACAAGCAGACTGAAAATTCTTATGAAAATCTGTCAGCACTGCATTTAATTTTTGAGTTATAACAAACTTATTGGCATAGAGAAATACCAGGCTCCACCTTCACACACATTTAAAAGTTAGGATTATGAAATAATATTTTCATAAATTAATTATTACTTTCCAGCTAAGATAGGCAGTTATTAATTGTCAGTCATCAAAGCAACATTTTCATTACAATGTTGTACGTCATAAAATTTTTCAATGATGCCAAGAGGATTAACAACTTATCCATAAAGCAAACAAATTTGGTTGAAAATTTAAAAGATGTTTCAATGATGTAAAAGAAATATGTAAAGGGAAAAAAAAATTAATCAAAGGAAATATTGTTCAATTTTCTTAGGAAGGGACAAAAATGTAGTTATAATTTTTAAACAAGGATTATTTCAATTTTGCAAGTATGTAGGTACTTTGTTCACAAATCAAATGTATAACTATAACATAATATTAACAGTTAACATAAAAGTTCTGACTGAATACAATATTTCAACATTATGATTTTACAGCATCTTGAATATCCTGTCGTTTGTGTGTTCCATCACAAAAAGGACGCTTATTAGATTGCTTACACATGCAAAGCCAGTATTCCTTTGTTTCAGTCACCTCAAAAGACATAGGACGATATCTTATGTGATGTGGACGAGTTGACATAAAATTTGGAGCTTTGTGAGATGTATCACAGAATGGCTATGAACAGAATAAAAAAATATGAAGTTTTCATTTCCAAACCTCATTGATTGTGTTCATTGGGCTATTCATATTTGTGGGCTAAGTTTCTTTTGAGTGTAATGTATGCAGGATTCTAGTCCCACACTTACAAATATCAAGATATTTACAAATGTTCATATAATAGTTTTACAATTACATTATTAGCTAGCTTTGGTAATAATGATGATATATATTTTATTTATTTCATGCAAACTGAGAAGAAATAGTGATGAAAATCTAGTTTCTAAGTTGTTTATTTCGCCCAATATCCTTTTCTTTACATCGTCTAATGGAAGGACTGGTATGATAAAGTCTTCCCCACCACAAACTTTATTGGCCCATAACTCTAAAAGTCACTAAGTATTAAATGCCTTTGCTCCTCCCATAGAATACATTAATATAGACTATTCCTTTCATATATATAAGCACCATCTTACAAAACACTTATTAAGCCCCTGAGTTCCAGCCTATAAGGAAGATATCTTAGCTTTATACAACAGAACAGTTCAATGAAAACCCTTATCTACAAAATCCCCCACACACCCATGCACATTTGTTCTAGACCTAGCCCTTAAGATAAAATACCCTTGCTTTACCTCCTACAATGAAACCTTTCACAAGGCTCCCCCCCCCCAGCTACCTCCTGTGTACACAAAAACTTTTTGGTCCATCAGGATTTAATCATAATTTTTTTTTCCCAATAAACAGCCTGAGTTGGATAACCTGTTCCACAACATACCACTCATCAACAAATACACACGCTTCTTCTATCCATTTAATTAGGAGCTAGAAATTTTTAAATGACAAAAATGCATAAAACTATCTCATTTTGACTCCAACATTTTTTTAAAAGACCGGGAAGATGATGGGACATTCTGAAACACTGAAAATAACAAATAGATTTAAGTATTGCTTGTACAAATCTGTAAATATTTCCTATTGTCCTGGACGTAATGGTTTAAAATATTAGGTGATAAGGATTTTACTGTTAAAATAATTACCTGAGTTTTGCTGTAACCACAGGTGCAAAATGTATATTTCTTGCCAGCTTCTAGCTCAAGTCTTATGGGTAACTTTTCAAAAATTTTTCCTTTGACTGGTTCAGGAGACAACAAATCTGGATGATGTTTAGTAATGGTTTCTGGGTGTGGTTTTTTCAACATTTCAGCAACCTTTGGGTCATTGGGGTCTTCACTGTCAGCATTTTGTCTTGTCAGAGACTACAAAATAAATTTAAAATGATAAATGAAAAGATTTTTTTTTAAAAAGGGCAAACACTGTTGACTTTTAAATAAGAAAATATGTTAATAGCTTTTAGAAGTATATAACATTAAACCGAAATTATTTGTTCTGTGTTTATAAGTACGTAGATGTGTGTACCGCTATTTGAAGTTACAAAAAAAAAAAAATACCTGGCTTAGTTCATTAATTCCTCATGTGATTGAACACTATTATTATATAAGGTAAGTAATTTTTTTAAAGCTTTTTTTGTTACTCTTAAAAATTGGTATTTTTCTGGGTGGAAAGACATGCTCTAATTTGATTATATATAGACTATATTATGTTATGCAATCATCTGCAAATAATCATCTAACCTTTGTTGCAAATAATCCTCTAACCTTTGTTCCTAAACTAATTGTAATGTAACATAACTGCTGAAAGGTCTTATTTGTTTGTCACTGGTCATTTCTAGAGCATAGATAGAGTAATTGCAGAGAAGATAATTGTTTACAAATTAGTTTAAAACTAAGAGGAAATTAAGAAGTTTCCATGCATGTTAAAGCTTTTCAGATAGTTAGAGCAAATGAGAAAGACATATATATATATAATATGATTGTAGAGACAATATAAAGAGATGCAATAACTGTTTATGGCTTCAGTGACTGTTGTAAATCTATTGAAATTAAATTGTATTAATTATTTAAGAAGTGTGTTTATCATCATAATGATTTGATGCTCTAGATAAATGTTTTGTATATAAATATATATTGAAAAATATTTCTGCTTGAGTTCATACTTTCAATTAGTATCTCCAGCATACTATGTTGTTTGAGTGATCAGGGAAAATCATGTAGGAATACAATATTTGAATATCACAATCTTTCATTCTAATCAATCTATATATATGCAATCACATTGTATGATCTACACAAACCCATTGTTACACTAATGCATTGTTCTGTGATCAGCACTGAATAGTCAATAATCTAAAATAATTTATATTTTTATATTATAATCATATCTAGATCTAGAGACTGGTGGAGTCTAGATTCTAGAATCTAGCTAGATCTATCAATACTATCATCTCTCTATTAGATCATCTAGACCTAGATTCTAGAATAGCTTGAGATGAGTTCTAGAATCTAGATCTAGAGACTATTTTTGCAGCTCAGAATCAGTGCCTACTTTACTGAAGTTCAGTAATATCAATGCTGATTAGCAGAGTGACGAGGATGAGAACGAAAAGGGCCAAGTGGAATGCTGACTTGAAATAACTGAGTCTAATTTTATCTTAACCAGTCTAGTCTAATGACAACGAGTAGAATCCAGGTCTAGATCTAATAATAATAATAAAAACCTGATATTCAATTATTACCGTTAAAATTATTGTTCAAATTTGAAAAAATCAATAATTTAATTTTAATATAAATTTAGGTAAGAAATATAGAATAAACTAAAGACTATTTAAAAATTAAACTAATTAAAGTCTTTACTTTACTCTTTAGAGAGTAGTTACTAGAATCTAGATTACTAGATCTAGACTTGAGACAGAGAGGCCAGTGAAGGTGAGTCTGAGTGAACTTCTGGGGCCACTGGTGATTGAATGTGACTGAGGGCAGTGAATGAGTGACCTGACTTGACTCGTCTCATCCCAGCAGAGTCTCAGTGAACTCCTCAGTCAGTGAAGTCAGTCACTGAGTCAGACTCAGTGCAGTGGCTGTCTCAGGCCAGGTTGAGTGAGACTAGTCACTAGATCTATTGTCTACAATCAGTCTGGCCTTTATTTTAAGTTTGAAATGATAATATGATCATATAAATGTACTCACAATAAATCTAAGAACATTACTGTTAACAGACTGAGGTTGATATGTTAGGATGCGATTATGAACTCGAAATAACTTATGCAAGGTGGTAGCCATTTGTATTTTATTTTCACCCCTCCCCCCCAAAAGCTGTGCTGCAGTAAATATAGGGGGAAAATCTGCTATGTAAAAAAAAAGGATATTAAATATTAGTAATATTACTAGTATTAGCACTGTAGGCCAAATTTTTTTTATTTCACTAGATCTGGTATAAAACTATTATTATTCAAGGCAACTGTGAAAAAGTTTTTTTTTTAACATTTGCATAAATCTGTTATAGATGTAGGAATGTAGGCTTTTTAATCTGAGCCTAGATCTAGTAAAATCTAGTTAGCATTTATATCTAACATATGTTAGACTATTATACTCAGCAGGCTGAAGTCTTATACTTAAAAAGTTTGAAGATCATTAAAATTTAAGGACGCCTTACCCTGAGAAATCTTCTTATAAAATACAGACGTTACTTCAAAAAAAAAGAAGATGATTATGTCCTACGCGTCATGTATATTAACCAATGTCAAGTCATTGGTTTTCCTGACTGGCTCAGGCATAACCCATTCCATGCTCTAATAGCACTAGGGATTCAAGAAGAACTAAATTTAAGCGATATATACATATATACTTAACAAGAGCTCATGTCAAAGCTATTGCCTATCTAATAACATCAAAATATTCCAATGTCGCAGATGCGGCCTTTTTTTTTTTTTCAGTCGCCCAGATTACAGAACTTTATAAGGAAGGTTGTGATGTGAAATAATATATATATATGGCTCCTTTTGTCTCGAAAGGCAATGGATGCGCCCAAGAGTCACTGGTTTTGGCTTAATCTTGAGACGGGGCAGAATCTGGTGTAGCCACACCAGATGTGAAATAAGGAATATATATATTCTAGGTATATTGTCACCGCCAGCACATCATAAAAATATCGCATGACCTCTGCCGCACATTCTAATCTACCGTACCGGTCGTATTCTAATCAATTCGAACCAGTGGCGTAGCTACCAATGTGCGGGTGGTGCGGGCCGCACAGGGCACCAAGTGGAGAGGGGCACCAAAATTCCACCAGTGTGTATTAATTTCCTTTTTCCCTGAGCTTTTCAGTAAAAACGACTAATTGTATGGACACGAACAAACATAAACTACTGTATTTTAAACATGAACTAACGATCTATAAACTAGTCATGTCGCTATTTTGTTTCATCTCCTAGACTATTTCTTCCATACAATGTAAGCTATAGAACAGTTTGAATCTAATTGACTAGATTTATTTCGGACACACGGTACACGTTGTTACTACACTGATCAATGCTCTGTAATATAAAGAAGAAGAAGAAGATAGGCCAACCTTTTTTTACTTCATTGTTTAGTCCATTTGTTTAATCTAGATATTGA